GCCGCCGGCCCCGGCGCCCCGGCGCCCCGGCCGGGGGAGGGAACCGGGAGAGGCTGAGGGCCGCGGCGGAACCCCCACTACCTGAGGATGTTGTGAGCCTCCATGCTCCGGTTCTGGTTACTCGAGCACACCACCGCCACCCGCAGCGGCGACGACGGCATGACGGCGGCCGCAAGGTGCACCGCGGCGACCTGAGCTCCCACCAACCCGCAGCCTTCGGCCGCCGCAAGATGGCGGCCAGCGGAAGTCGACGACGCGGAAGCTGGGACGACGCAACGGGCGGGAACGCCGCCCGGCCGGCCCTCAGACGCGAAGGAGCTCGGGGAGCTCGGAGCGGCCGCGCCGCGCGGGGCGTGGGTGGCGGCGGGCCAACGCCGAGCCTTTCCCGAAGGCCGGGGGCCGAGACCAGCGCCCCTCAGCGCGCCGCGCGCCAGCCGCCGCCAGCGTCTGACGTCACAACACCTGAGCCGGCACCAACAGGACTCGGGAGGCGGTGCCGCGGCTCCGGGGACCCGCCGCCGTTGCTGGGGTAACGCGTCGGACCTCGCGCCTGCGCAGTCGGAAGTTTTGGTTGTGCACGACCGTTTCTGGGTCTGGGTCGCTCCCGGTTCTCCGTGCGGCCTCCGGGGAGGCCCGCTACACCTCCCGGTCCTGCACTTCCGCCGCTGCCCGAAGCCACGGAATCTATCTCCTACTTTCTCCGAAAATCCACTCTAGGGAGACCCCCCCCCAGGCGCCTGCCCCAGGCTGCTACTGCCCAGCTACTCAGGAGGCTGAGATCTGGGGTTCGCGGTTCCCCGCTGTCCCCCCGCGGTTCCCCCGGCTGGGGGCCGGGGCGTCTGGGGGCCTCTTGTCTCCAGTGACTAGCAAAAGAAAAAGCCACAAGTGGCGCTGTGGCTCAAGTGGTAGAGCGCTCGCCTTGAGCAAAGAGCTGAGGCCCAGCACCCAGGCCGAGTTCAAGCCCCGGGACCGGCAAAAAGTCAATGAAGATTCCTGGGGCTGGAGAGCTTTTTCTCTCAAGACTGGCACCCTACCACTTAGGCCACAGCGCCATTTCTGATTTTGTGGTAGTTAAGTGAAGGCAAAAGTCTCCCCAACTGTTCTGTCCGGGCTGGCTTTGAACCGCAATCCTCAGATCTCAGCCTCTTGAGTAGCTAGCATTACAGGCCTGAGCCACTGGCACCCAGCTAAATCTTTAAATTTGTAATAAAGTTTATTAAATTCCTCTTTGGATCATGCTGCAATGTCTGAAATGAAAATTACACACTTTAGGGGCTGGGAAGGTGGCTCAGTGGTAGAGCGCTTGCCTTGCATACCAGAGGCCCTGGGTTCGATTCCTCAGCACCACATAAGCAAAAAGAAAAAAGGTGGTGCTGTGGCTCAAGTGGTAGAGCGTTAGCCTTGAGCTGAAGAGCTGAGGGACAGCACCCAGGCCCAGAGTTCAGGCCCCACGACCGGACCCAAAAAAAGAAAATTACACTTTAGCCAGGTGCCAGTGGCTCACACTTGTAATGCTAGCTACTCAGGAGGCTGAGACCTGAGGATCTTGATCCAGGAGGCTGATATCGGAGGATTGGGATTCAAAGCCTGCCTAGGCAGAAAAGTCCCATTGAGATTCTTACCTGCAGTTAACCACCAGAGAACCAGAAGGGGAGCTGTGATTCAAAGTGGTTGGTAGAGCACTAGCCTTGAGCAAAGAGCTCAGGGACAGCACCCAGATGCTGAGTTCAAGCCCCTTGACTCACAAAAAAGAAACTACAAAACACAAGTTTGCACTGGTAGCTCAAGTCTGTAATCCCAGCTACTGAGGAAGCTGAGATGTGAGCATGGAGGTTTAGCCTGCTGTGAGCAGCAAATCTGTGAAGTTTATTTTTTTATTTTTACCAGTCCTGGGACTTGAATTCAAGTCCTGGGCATGGTCCTTGAGCCTTTTTGTGCTCACGGCTAACTCTTCACTTGAGCCACAGGTCCACTTCCAGGTTTTTCTGAGTTTATTAGAGAAAAGTGTCTCCCAGATATTGCTACCTAGGCTGGCTTTGAACTGCCATCCTCAGATTTCAGCCTCCTGAGTCACCAGCACCCAACTAAATCTGTCTTATCTGCAATTAACCACTAAAAAGCTGAAGTGGCAATATGGCTCAAGTGGTAGAGCACCAACCGTGGGTTTGCTAAGAGTGCAAGGCCCTAATTTCAAGCATTACTACTGGCATGGGCGCACATGTGGGCACACACACAACTGTACAAAATTAGAAAAGGATGAAAAATGAACTAAGTGTTAGTAAGTCAGGGACAAGTTCAGGCAGCTGAGTTTATATGTCCGTGAAGTCCTGAGTTGGCTTTTAGATTTTTTTCTTTTTGTTCCTCTACCTTGTGAGATTCCCTCTCCTTTGTGCTCCAATTGGCACGAAGCTGAAGATTTCCAAAATTCCTTCTCCAGGTTCTGTCCTGAGGACTCCCTGGAGCCCTAGCTCAGTTTCCTCCACGGGGGGGGGGGGGAGACCCCCCCACATTCTGAAACCTCTACATGAATCATCACTCATGCCTGCCCTTTCAGGTTCAGTCCCTCTGTTATTGTCCAGTGTACTTGCCTCCTTCACGGACTAAATGGAGTTTTCTTTCAAGTTACTTCATTTGACTGGAAGCAGAAGTCTTTTTTTTTTTTTTTTTTGATCAGTTGTGGGGTTTGAACTCTGGGCCTGGGCGCTGTCCCTCAGCTCTTCAACTCAAGGCAAGTGCTCTACCACTTGAACCACAGCGCTACTTCCTCTTTTTCTGCAGTATGTGGTGCTGAGGAATCGAACCCAGGGCCTCATGCATGCAAGGCAAGCACTCTACCACTGAGCCACATTCCCAGCCCAGAAGTCTCAATTTTTTTTTTAGTCATGGGTTTTGAGCTCTGGGCCTGGATGCTGTGCCTCAGCTCTTCAGCTCAAGGCTAGTACTCTATCACTTTGAGCCACGGCACCACTTCTGGTTTTATGGTGGTTAATTGGGGATAAGAGTCTCATGGAATTTCCTGCCTGGGCTGGTTTTGAACTGTGAAGCTCAGATATCAGCCTTCTGAGTAGTAAGGATGACAGGTGTGAGCCACTGGCACCTGGCTAGAAGTCTCAATTTTTGAAAAAGTAAAAGGCAGGCAACTTCTTAGAAGCATGAAAGTTACAATACTAAGGTAATATAGTAATGCTGTAGGATACAGACCAACACAACAGCCCCAAATAGGTCCATGCCCATGTGAGAAAGCACATGGCACTGAAGATGGATGGGCTGTTTTTGTGCCATGCATTAGCAAAATCGGTTTTCCGTTTGATATAAAATGGGACTCCATATTCCACAGATGACTTCTAGAAAGATTAAAAGACCTAAATATGGGTTGGGAATGCGGCTTAGTGGTAGAACGCTTGCCGAGCATGCATGAAGCCAAGTTCAGTTCCTCAGTACATTAAAACAGAAGGAAAAAAAAGCCAGAAGTAGTGCTGTGGTTCAAAGTGGTACAGCGCTATCCTTGAGCAAATCCCCATGACTGGTCCAAAAAAAGCCCTAAATATGAAATTTTAAAAGCAAAGCCAACCAAGGAAAGCATAGGGGAAAATTTTCCTGTTCTTTGCATGTGCAAGGAATCTTCCCCCCTGGGACTGGGTCTTGAAATCAGGGCCTCATGCTCTCACTTAGCTCTTTCCACTCAAGGCTGGTGCTCTGCCACTTGAATCACACTTCCAGTTTATTGGAGATAGTCTTCTGGATTTTTCTGCCCAGGCTGGCTTTGAACCTTGATCCTCAGATCTCAGCCTCCTGAGAAAGTAGGATTGCAGGTGTGAGCCACAGGCACTGGGCTAAAATTTAAGACTCACCCCTGCGGGGGGGGGGGGGAATGCCAACTATATACATGACAAAGTTAATAAGCAGAGGAGCAAATATCTAGAACTGCATTATTCAATACGGTACTCAACTAAAGAACAGCAGAGGCTCTCAGAGACAGAGCTTGATGGAGAAGGAACAGTGCCTGTAGGAGGTAGTGGGCTGGGATGGACTGAGCCTCTGAGGTAGACCAGGTTCAGGAGCCAGATTGCCCTGCGAGGATGGAGGGACCAACCTCAGATGGCCACTTGGCGGAAGAATGGTATGTGGGAATGATCCTGAATGTAAAAGCAGGCTGTTGCCTGGCACTGATGGCTCACACCTGTAATCCTAGCTACTCAGGAGGCTGAGATTTGTGGTTCCCAGTTCAAAACCAGCCTGGAGAGAAAAGTCCCCGTGAGACTCCAATTAACCACTCAAAAATCAGAAGTGGGGCTGGGAATTTGGCTTAGTGGTAGAGTGCTTGCCAACCATGCATGAAGCCCTGGGTTTGATTCTTCAGTACCACATAAGCAGAACCAGAAGTGGTGCTGTGGCTGAAGTGGTAGAGTGCTAGCCTTGAGCAAGAGCTCAAGGACAGTGCCCAAGCCCTGAGCTCAAGCCCCAGGACTTGAAGTGGTACAGCTAAAAGACAGTAGGGAGCTGGGTGCCAGTGGCTCTCGCCTGTCATCCTAGCTACTCAGGAAGCTGAGATCTGAGAATCATGGTTCAAAGTCAGCCCCGCAGGAAAGTCTGTGAGACTCTTATCTCCAATAAACCACCAGAAAACCGGAGGTGGCGCTGTGGCTCAAGTGACAGAGCGCTAGCCTTGAGCTGAAGAGCTGAGAGACAGCGCCCAGTGCCTGAGTTCAAGCCCCACAACCAACACATTTTTTTTTTAAGTTTCCAAGGCTTGCTTGCTGTTGCATTGAGGGCTGTACTGCTTATGCTCCTCCTCTTCAAACCCAACAGTAACCTCTGAGAAAACCCATCAGCCGAGGCTGACAGGACAGCTCTATGGTCCTGCTGGCAGAAGCCTACACTCAACCAGGTCATGAGCCCCAGAGACCACATGGAACTTCAGCTCCCACATGGGCTGGTGGCCCAAACCTGGAGCCCAACTGTATCTAAGGGCTAGAAGCTAGGGTGTTGCCTGGGGCTTCCTGCTCTTGCCAGCTGAAGATACCTTAACACGCTCCATAGGAGCTAAGGTTGGAGGTAGCTGGACCCAGCTGTCTAGACACACACTGCACTGACCCCCCCCCAGATGAGTCACGCAGTAGCTGACTCACCCACCTCCCTCCTGTTCCTTCCCCAGGGTCACAGGTGCTCCAGGGCGTTCCAAGGACAGTCCGGGTTCAATACAGGCTCTCAGGCTCCTTGGCTTACCTTCCGCCCCCAACTCCCACCTCTACCACTGCACAGGGAGGCCCCAGTCTGAGGAAGGACAGCCCTGGAGCAGCCTAATTGCTGCCTGTCACCGCTAAAGTGGGTCACCATGAGTCCGGGCTATTTCTAACCCAAGCAAGCGCCACCTCTCCACCTCTGCTCAACACAGCTGGCCCAGGAAGAGCAGCTTTCCTGAGGTCTGAGGGTGGACAGGCAGGCTGTGAACAGGCTGTCCTCCTGCCATTCAGTAGACCAGTCCGCCCTGATTGGGGCTGACCCCCAGCCCATGCGGGAAGAGGGTTC